ATTTAAAATGCAACAGCTGTCATTTCGCTTGTTTTAAAAATTTATAGAGCTTTGTTTCGAAAATGTTTATATAAAATTTCGTAAAAATTTAGAATATTTAAAATTTAAATAAATAAAAATGTATCGGTGTTGTACTCCTTAGAATTTCTTATAATAAAACTGACTTATTTATTTTTTTTGTGTGTGTGTCAATGGGAAAGTTGTAATTTTTCGTATATTAGCACAAAAAACTATAGGATATTTTTCATAAATCTTGTCCAAACTATAAAAAAAAAAAAAGTGTTCTTCTGCTTGTTTTACGTACAGCAGGCAACATTGTTAGAGAAACGAATGCTAAAGTGTAAGCGCAACGAACCTTAACTACAATACATACAGTAGTGTAACGGTAGTGAATGTGGGTCACGTTTATTTCCTAACGTTGGCTTTTCTGTCAATGTTGTCTTCTTTACGTAAAAGCTATATAGAAAACCATTTTTTTTAATCGTCTAAGAAACAGGTTTTAAAAAAACTTGATTTCAAGAATGTGCGCTGCTTTTAACTGCCTAAACGCATAATTGTTTACAACTTACAGAAAATTAAATTATATAGAAATTATAAAATCGAATCTTCTGTATTAAAATTCATAAATTTTGTGAAATTTTATATTTAAGTTAATTTAATTTTTTTTTTCAAATCAACCTCTGTAAAGTTAGAAATTAAACGTAGCAATTGTTATCTCGTTTAAATAAATTAGATAAAGAGTAAAATAACTAAGAAATTAATAAGTAAAGCGCGTGAATTTACTTATAATTTCTTTTAAATTTAACTTTCGATAAATGTAAGGCAAATCAATTATTATAAAGTTATACAACAACTATATTTATAGACCGCGCTTTAATATTAATTAATATTTATGTAGTGTGATATTTATTAATATATACTTAATGAGAATTTAAAGTTTTAATGATTTTTCAAATTTTTCACCCGTGTTTCTCTCGTTTATATCATTATTGATTTTAAAAAGATGCCGTAAAATTTCATTTAAAGTTCTCCTCTTTTTACAATTTTCATGGACAAATGTAAAAATATATATNCGTAGCGTGGCGCTGGACGGCGGAAAGTATATATATAATTATAATAAAGTTACAATAAATTAAGTTAATATATAATTATATGTACAGTACCTAATTTATATATAATTTATATATAATACTGTACAGACGACAGTAAACTCAATTTACCCGCCTAAATTCTCCGTAGCGTGGCGCTGGACGGCGGAAAGTAGTTCGGCTGCCCGATGACATTTTACCGAATTATAGGAGTTTTTATACCAGGTTTGTACGGATACCGTCGCAATTTTTCGCCGTCTTATAGGAATCGTAATTATAGGAACCCGTGTTATAGGAGGGTCTGCTGTATTCTTATATTCAAGCATTCGTGTGAATTTAATTAAGCTTATAACTCATTGGAAAGTTTTAAAATGTATCTAGTATTATTATTTAAATTAATAAATATAATAACGAATGATTACTATATTTAAGTTTTCATTTGAAGGACCATTTCATATTAAAGGTCGATGAACGTAAATTGCCATGTTTCTAATTTTCTATTTTAAACGTTTAAAACATAGTAACGACGTAGGATTAATTATTCATCAATAAATTTCCTTTAATAGTTAATGCAATTTATGTTTACACGTTATTAAAACGTAAATATATCAGTGTAAATTTAATGCGTTAAACCCCAAGTGAAACATTAAGCTTTGATAAAGACGTGAAGTTGAACTGTTCCAATATATATATATAGGCCTATATAAATCCAATAGAATGCAGTTTAAAATGTTTTAAAGAAAGGTAAAAAAAGAACATTTAACAAAGAAATATTTTTGGTTTTTTCCCAATTTAAAGATTAAATTCTTTTCTTCGTATTTAAGTTTCACTTAATTGTTCCTTCCTGTGTTTTTTTATTATCTTTTAATCTCATAAAATTCACTGTCCGTTCTATAAACACGATTTATTCGCATTAATAAATAATAAAATTAAATGTATCTTATGTAAATATATATATATTTAAAAAAAAAAAAAANAATCATTTAATTATTTTACATAAAAGACATCAAATATTTGTAAAATAAGCGTTTAAAATTGTTTTTCGAAGCATCTAACGTCACGTATTTACCTCTGTTTTAATGTAGACAAATAAGAATTGATGTAATCTGCACTTAAAATTTATACAACAGAACTAAAAAAAATGAAATGATAATAAAACTTCCGTTATTATTATTATTTTTATTGCTTATTGTTTATATTTTAAACCGTTCTTTAACTGTTACGATATCCGAGCGACGTTAAAGACGATACGACATTGAACAATCTGCCAAAGAATTGCTTCCCCGAGTAATATAATAAAATAAATAGGCCTAAAGTCAGTTTTTTTTATTATTATTATTTTTTTTTAATTAAATAGGAAAATAGGAAAAGTCATTTTACGCATTTAAACAAGTTGAAATTATGATAAATTATGTGTACGGTTAATTAAACAGCATTATAAACCGTAGGAAGGAAAAAAAATGCACCTACGGGATTAATAATAAAACAATAATGTTTACATCATTAAGCGGTTTCTTGATTAATCGAATTATCTACAGGACAATCAAATTTAGACCGAGAAGAATCGATGAAAAATTTCTAGGTGAAGGAAGGGAAAGAGTTTTATTCATGCTTTATTACACGAATAAAATAAGAATTTCATAAATAGATTAATAGTGTAAGTAGGACAGAAAACAATTTTCCCATTGTTTATTTAATGAAGTTGCGTGATTTGTTTGCAGAATAGAAAAATGTGGATAACAATCTACAAAGCTTACATGCCGATGGATAAATTCAAAAGAAGAAAAAAAAAAAGAAAGAAATCAATGAAGTTTGAACCGAATTTCAAAGGATATTCTTAAGAGTTTAAAGTGGAATTACGTATAAACCATTGCTCATCCTAAAAAAGTCTTTCGGATCTATAATTCAATAAATCTATTGCATGCTTTATACCATGTTTTTTGATCCATACTACATCTGAGAACGTCATTAATATGATTTTAGAAATATCTCAGAACGCTGTTAGTACGATTTTGATCATTTTTTTTAATTTATATAAAATCATGCAAAATATCGAAAATAATTTTAAAATATTTTAATAACTGCAAACTTAATTGATCGTTCTCTAACACCTTAACTAGGTTTTATGTATTATGTAACTTAAATTTTCCATTAAAAATTCAATTTATGTAATTTCTTACTTTATTTTAAAAAATAATATTGTGGATTCTTAATCAAATTCAATATTATTCTTTCAAAAATTTTTATATTCATCACAATCTTTTAAAGATTTCTTTCTTCTTTACTTCCTTTGAAAGTTTTGATGATCAAAAATTGCACACAACAATTTTTCTCGTATGAAACACACTGAAAGCTACGCTATCATAAAAAGACACTTAGCTTTATTAAAATTAAAATATTAAATTATGAAGAAACGGAGCTGAAGATAATCATTCACAGCCAGAATCTTTAAGTGCATTGAATAAAATATTATTCATAATTCCATTAAAATTATTGCGCTGCTAAACAGTAAAATACATCTACATCCGCTATCGATTATTAATTTTTTTTTTAGCGTATATTAATTAAGATATATTAACGAATTCAATTATGATCGATAACTTCAGATGTTACCAGTCGAATACTATACTCCTCCACGCTGTTACCTTACTAAAGTGTAACAGTATATTGGATGGGCCTTTCACTTTAGTTTTCATTGTATATGAGAAATGTCTTATTTCTTCACAAGAGAACTTTCATAAACGAATTTTGAAACAAACATTGCTATATCAATATCATCTGCAAACAATTTATTTAAAAGAATATCGACCGAAACCAAGCGTCAACCTCTTGACATAATACACGTCACAAGTAAATATACGGTACGAGAGAGAATAGTAATTCTAGAAGCGAATAGATCGAAGGAGAGTTAGTATAATATTTTTTGTATATATATATATATATATATTAAATCCTCAAAGATTAGCTCTTTCATTTCGTATTTAAATAGTCCTTAGTTTATATATGATAAGGAGTTCGGTGAGTGGAGAGTTGTTTAAAATATCGAATGAATTGAATGGTTTTTAATCTTTGAAAATTTGCGTTTTAATTAGAAGATAGTAAATATTTGTTCTTAAAGAAAAAAAAAATATATATATATATATTGTGGGGATCGATACGTATCGGCCTGGTAGGAGAGTAGGAAGAGGGTGGTAGCCGAGCCCGTGCGCCGCCACCCCCCGAAACGGCAAGTGGACTGGCCCACTAACGGCCTTTTCCAGCCCGGAGGGATCGATCCCCCGACGACTCGATGCAGTCTTTATTACGCAGCTAAATAAATATGCATCTGGTGCCGCGCAAGCCCGCTAACTGTCGAGGGGACTCGACGAGGTAGCAAAGTGCAGCGCCATTTTCTGCACGGCGCGCAACCTTGCACGGGAGGTGGTGGGTGGAGTGGGTTTATCTTTTTTCCCGTCTCAGACCGATTGCAAAATCGCGCACGCACCAGCGATTGGCATTTTTAAAAAGGACGAAAGGGAGCGAAGAAATGAGTGCAGAGCACTTTTTAAAACGGCTGCCGAGCTTCGAAATAAAATGCACGGGAGGAAAAAAAATCGTCAACTGGGCCAAGGACGCCGGCGGTAATCGCGCGCAAACTGGTGCACCCACTCTTCGACACATATGTCACAGGTAATAGTCGTCTCCGTCTCCGGCGCAGCGCTGTTTGAAACGCATCCCGGGCCTTGCAGTCGCGTCACAGCTGTTACCTGGATGCGGCCCGACGCGACGCGTTGCGAGTATCCTCCCGAGCGGCCGGGGTGCAGCCACGTTATTTAAAAAGCGACCGTGTAGTGGCGGTTGGGCCGCGACGCCATCACGCTAATACCCGGATGTCAAGCCATGGCTGTAAACACCGCGTCGCTTATAACATCATCACCTACCTGTTATTTTCGCCTGGTTTTGGTCGCCGGACGTCTGTTTACGACTAGAGACGTCACTAAGCGGCGTTGGTGCCACGCTAGTGACGCGTAACGTCACTTGTACGTTTTCGGAATCCACTCTACTCCACTGGTAACGACCTTGAAGAGGTCTTTCCTTCTTAAAGTCGAAATTCCATCGATGCTGCTGTTCTCTGTCGATTTTGGCCAGTTCTCGATCTAGGATGCTTCTGGTTTTATCATGATCGACCGGGCCGAACAGCACACGTCGCACGCTTCGTCTTCCCGATAGCTCCGTTACCCTGCTCAGTTCCATCCCAATGGGACCCGCTACCTCCGTGCTCATGCTTTAAACTCCCGCTTTGGACACGTTAAACTAGCAACACCTTCGCGTCTGTGTCGACTTTTCGATCTGCGTCGAAGTCGTAACATGGACTCGCTTCACCAGGCTGACGTTATTTTTATCTACCAATGGCGTTCCTCCCGACGCAGCGTCGGGTCATAGGGCGACGCGCAGCCAATCCACTTCCAGCACGGGCGCCTCCTATTGGACGATCTCCTAAGCGTCGTCTATGATGTGATATACAATATTTTAAATGTCCCTGGAAGGATCCGATTTTTGAAAAACGTCACGAAAAAACCGTTGCCAACGACTAATTATAAATTAAACTTTCCGTCTGCCGAAATTCCGTCTCGGAGGCTCCTCCCTTGACGTCCCAATGCTGCTGTTAGTCGGGGGCCCCCTAAACGTTTTCTGGGAGGAGCCGACGTGACGTACCGGCTCCCCCACCCCGACTGGCACGCGCCATATGGCACGAGCCGAGAGGGGCCTCGCTCGTGCTATCTACCCAGTCTCTCTCTGCAGAAACTGCAGCTTTCTTTGTCTGCCGCTAGCATCCGTTTTCTCTTCGGAATTACAGAAATGCTCGTTGGTAGACGGTACGCTTATACCGTCCACTTCCATAAGGACAGGTGTAACCATGTGTACGTGTAGCTCGTAAACTAAATACACCCTCTACCGTTGCACTAGTCACTTTCCTAGAAGACGAGCATCGTTTATTCGCCTCTCTATCCAAAATCGATCGGTGAGATTGAAGAATACGTCACAGTCTGGCGATTTTCTCTCTCTGTGTGTGAGCAATTTTCCAATAATGCAATTTAATTATCGCTTGCTCGTAGGATAAATGAAACGGTTTATAGAAATAATATGCTCCTACATTTCTCCTAAACGAATTACAGACGAGTTCGAACCCCATCCAATTTAATTAACTACGTTTAATTCTACTCGTTGTACGTTGGACATATTTTTGTTTTCCTTCCAGTTATATTTGTTATCTGAGTAGCCTATTTTCCCGGGAAACACGTATTTTTCTTAGAAGCATTGTTTATTCGAGATATCCTCTTTTAGATTACATATTTTTATTTTTTTTTCTACCGTTTATCTACCTTTTTATCTATTTGCTTATCACTTTTTCCATTTTTTTTTTCTTCGGGACATCATCATCTTACCCTCCGGTGACATCTTCGTCATCATCCTTTAAGTTTATCTTCTTCTGAGTATAGCTTTGCCTTCATGCCAAAATGTATTTCCCTTTTTCCCATTTCTTTCTAATTTTTAGCCCATTGCATATAACTTATAATAAGTAAGCCTACACCAGTGGTTCTTAATTATAACAGTTGCGAAATTTAACACTATTGTTAATGTGAAATTCACATTTTGTTTGAATAAAATCGAGTCGAAATGTCTTCGAATAAAAAGCATATTGGGCATATGCTTTACGAGTTTTGGAAAGGATATAACACCGTACAAACAGTAAATAATATTCATAATGGGCATAAAATAGCCCGGCACTTTCATAATTTTGCTGAGTACATGAAACAAGTTGGCGGAACACCGGTTAAGAATCACTGGCCTACACTATAAGGACATAAGCAAGAAAATTGATTGACTGATCGAGGGCTTTCGCACAACATTTTCTAGATTTATGGCGAAAATTTCGAAGTAAAAATAATATAAATGAGCCCATTACTAAGAGAAAGTCGGATACTAAATTTAGTAGCGAGGTCCCTCTTCTACATCTTTCTAGCATCCCCAGTAAGAGACGTGACGACAGCCACACGCGGATAGAATGTTCCTACCAACTGAAGCTTTTTGTCCTTTGCATAAAACTTTTAAGAAAACTCGAGTATTTATTCTTTCTTCTTTCTTTAATGCAGACAAAAGCCGCTTTATTTAAAAGTAGGCCTATAACTAGAAAGTGACATATAAGGGCCATACAGGAAATGACATATGAAGAATCAATCTGCGTAGGTGGAATCTTGCCAATATCTAATTTTGTTTGCATCATTATTAGAGGTCTTCGTAGACATACGTGGCAGGAAAGCTCTCCTCGATTGGTTACAGTAAAGTAAGATGGTAAAAATATCTTTTCTGTTAATTAGGACCTCTGAGTTTTAAATGAAACTTATAGTTTTTTTCTAATTGTTTCTTAATTAGTGGGAGCATTTAGTAGGTGTAATATCTTAGCCAGGATTATGGCAATTAGAATTATCCAATTTAAACTAATGTAGGCCTAAAATTCTTCACTTAAACGGCACAGAAACATGCATTTGAGTGAGGTAAAAGAAGATACATAGGGAATGTGTTCTTGCTGAATATAGAAAATATAGGCCTACCCCAATAGACGAAACAAAAACAAGGTTGAGAGTAATCAGATATTTAAGTTTACATTTTTATCGATTTTAGTGATACAGCTGCAAATAATTCTAAAACAAGCGGAAGAATTATAAAAAAATAAATAAATAAAATGACACTATCAACTCATTAGTTTGCACTGAATAAAACTGAATGTGTTTAATAAGTCAGTTGAAAGACTGTGACAGACAATATCAGTTTTATGGGAAAATGGGCAGATGAGCTTTCAAAATTTATTTATTTTGTGTTAAACATTGAGTAGATAATTTGTTAATTTTAAATTTGCAATTTCTTTCTCGAGCCGCGGATTTCTTTATTTTCAGTGTCTTCGACGTTATAAAAGAAAAATAAACAGGGAATGAGTCGTTTTAGAAACAGCTTTCCACATCTGTGAAAAGCAGGCTGCATTACTGTTAATCTGTTCGAGAAAAATGTAACTTAACTCTACGAATATAGACCTAGATCATATAGTGACTTTAAAGCAGATGATAATATATCCCCCCTCAAACAGGGAATATTGTTCTTTAATATCTCTTGTATAGAAATATCATCTGCTCTCTTGTACAAAGGCAGATGATAAAATATAGGCCTACTTTTATAAGTTAGGCAATATTATTTCCCCATTATACAAGACACAAATGTTGAGTCCTGTTACTAAAAATGGGTTTTATGGATATAAACCATTGATGTGTGCGTCAATATTGATTGATAGTGTTTATTATTTTTTTATACACCAGAGAAAAAGTATAATTCTTAAGTGTGGTTTCAGGTGACAAATAGCTTGCACTAGTACTTCCATCCGGGAACAGCTTGACATATCGGAAATTGGGCGAGTCGCGGTGGGCTGAGAGACTAATGGGCCGGTGCACGGGTCTTGCGGGTCGGTTGCTTGGTCACGTTTTTATATTTACCGACAGTTTGTGGGCCGCTTTGGAGAGAAATTGCCATTCGATATTTTCCCTTAATTTAATTTGAATTTACAAAAACAGAAAATGGGACAATTATTCTTAGGCCTTAGCCTAAGAAGAATAATTACTCAATTCGATTATTTTGCTAAATCTATTTTAAAACAGAATATCAATATATGC